CGCTTACAGGAGACACGAAACTAAGCGGAAAGAAGCTATTCCATCCCTTCGAGGAAGGAAAAGGGAATTTTCCTTCATTGTCTGGTTTCTCGGTTTCTGCTTTCCCCTCCTGACCGGTCGGGGCGCGAAGCCCTCGAGGGGATGCGCTGCTTGTCGCCACAGCGGGGGAGGTTCTCTTTCGTGGGGCAAATGGGTACATACCATTGTTATCCCATTTAATAACGTTGGAAAATGTTATATGCCTGCGAGTAACACGGACGACGAACATATCCTACAGTGCCTACGTCGTCTCCGCCCAAGATTAAGATAGGATAACGTGTTGACTCCGGACGAAACGTCACTTGGGGTTTCGTTTCTCGATGCGAAGTTTTAAGTGCCAAGTAATCGGAGGTGTTGCACGCAATTTTTATGCAAATCTGACCGGTCGAAATTGGCACTCGTTTTTACGGAATCTTGGATCGCAGGCGATTAGTGGATTTGCGACCCGGGGTTCGGTCTTCGTCGCGGGAGTTACTGCACCTCGAATGCTTAGAGCTCGGGAATCTGCCCTTTCTTGCACGAAGAGAATCTTCGCTCAAAAAACAATTGCCGAAATTTGGAATCAGCAGACTTCGTTTGGTCTATATTGGAGTTAATAATGGGGAATTCTAAATTCGTTCTCACATCTCAGCGATACCAGAACGATATTAATATTCATAACTTTATCAATGAAATGGTCCGCAAAGGCTAAAAATAAATCGATCCGAAATTCGAGTTCCAGGGTTTTAATAAGTGAAGGCGTGGGGGTGTGTTTGCAATGAGACTAGGAGTTTGAAGAGAAAAGTGTTGAAGGTCGTGCCAATCTAAACGACTCTTTCAGGTATTTTTAGTTTCACCTTGGTCTGGGTTTATCCTTTGCAACATGTTGCTGCATGTATTCAATCATCTTTTAAGGTTTTTTTTTTCTTCGTCTCTCTCGCAGTCGGCTGGTATTTCGGCCGAGTGACGGCCACTTGTTCCAGGTCTATTTTTGGGAGAGCATTTTTTTCGTTTCATCCTAGTTTCAGCATCATGTATCTAATATCTTCTCGTTTATTTATACATGTTATCACTTCAAAGAACTCTTCTTTTCCCTCCTGTCGGCTCCAAGCTAATGCCCGTCCATTTTCTCGTGCGAACGGACAGGTGCAGAAGAAAGCGAATGATGGACACGGAGACGTTTGCCACCGTTGAAATGGCCGCAACCGATGAATCCGTCACTTCATCGAAGGCGAACGCCCATCCCCAACGAGGTCTTCAACAACCATCTCCTCGAGCATGAAATCTCGGAAGAGACACCGCGAACACCTGCACCCAGAGGCCTTCACACGTGACCCCCAAGCATGTCCCAACGGAAGCCCTTGCACCGCTGGTTTCTCCTTCGGGAAAACGAGGCAGTCCCTTTTGGACGAAACCGACCTCCTCCCCCGAATCCTCCGCGAGGAAGGATACACGTTTCACGTATGTCTTTCCTAGTTTCTTCCTTCGATCGGCCTACATCATGGATGCATCTTTCTATCGGATGTCAAGGCTCGCTTGCAGCGCCCAGACGTCTTAATAACTTTTAATTGAAGTTCTTGCCATGACATAGTTCCTCCATGCCATCGCGCTTCCTACATTCCAAATTAAAGTAAACATCAAGAGACATTCGATTGGCAGACTGTTTTCCATTTGTCGTCGCTGCGCGGGCAATGACAATGCGGCGACACGGTTCATACATCGATACGAGTCGCAACGCTCAATCTATCGAGTGCTCGCCCATTATCTTTAATTCGGCATGACAGGCATGGAGATCTCCGAGCTCATGAGCTTGAATTGAAAATGAAAATTTTCCAATTATTTCCCTTCACCTATTCATGAAAAAAGCAGCCGAATCTAGGAACTGCAAGGTGCCTCCCACATTCTCTTCGCGTCGGATGGTTGCGGCGCGACTGCGAGTCTGACCCCACGCGACTGCGACTGCGACGACATCGTCAGGCGAGCTCCCCTCCACCGCATCCTCGCCGCGAGAGAAAAGACAGACGACACGCGTGACGTCATGAAGGCATCGGTCGGTCGAGAGCCGATGCCCCGCCCCCCTCCCCGGCACTCCGAGGCTGGAAGCGTGTGGTTGAAGGTCGTCGCCGGTTTCTCGTGTGCGTCTTCACATGCGCAGTGACTCCCGAGGTTTTCGTACTCGCTCCGACTGGAGATTAGAGTTAAGCCAGACCATTCCTTCAAGTCGGGGCTAAAAAAGGGATTATCTTGTACGGTAGTTTCCGCAGTACAATTGCTGAAATGTGAACGCTAAAAGGCGAACGCCTCGGTTAAAGAGTTAAATATCTCAGAATTTGTTATTTATTGCACTCATATTTAACAGCAATTTATTCCTAATTATCAATAAATTCGTTGTTTGAGATTTTAGCTTTTTTTTAAAAACAAGTTTTGAGTAATTTACACGTGAGAGAATGTCATTCATTTTTAAATTTAGGTGCAATGATGAATTATTTGAGTTTTTGGCAGGATCATCTCACAGGTACGTGTTAATTTCCGTTAGCAACTGCCATCTATCCTTATGAGTGTCCCTTTTTGTCGGTGAATGATCCCCGAAGTAAACATCATTTCATCATGTCGGTAAAAGTTCATACAATGTCAATTTTGTCATAGAGACGTGAAGTGGAAGCAATAATTGGCTCACCGCTGCATGCGTTCCCTAAATTTGTGCATGATCCTATATGTTTCCTTCAGACCTGTAGACATCGACCCTCCGAACGCGGGTTGCTTGTTCATGAGGGCAACATGCAAATGTTTTCTTGGAAATCAGATCGACTGCTTCCTGATGGAAGGAAATTTAGCTCTCTTGAACGCAAATGAAGTGGCCACAGTTAAGGAAAAATAAAATAATAAAAAAAACTCCAGAGATGTAAAAGAAGTGTTTTAAGGTTCGGAAGCCGGCACTCAAATACCGCGAATAAGAGTATTCGTCACACTTGTCATTTTCGTCACGGGTTCGTCATCGTGTTAGGTCTCCCTTCGGTCGGGGGAGGTTTAAATATGAAAGCGGGGGGAAGACGCGCCTCTCCACCTCCCGGCCTCGAAGGACGAGGGAGAGAGCGATATGGGGCCATCGCGTGGACGTCGCCGTGCTGCCAAGTCGCGGCCGAGAGAGGTAGGGCCGGCTTTCGATCCACGAGAGAGAAGAGGGGTCGGTGCTAAGAGTTATCCACGTCGGACGTGCGACTCCCTCATAAATCACTCCTCGAGTAGAAAGTCCCCCCGTAATCGAAACTGAGGTGTGGCACGTCAAGGTCAGAGTAATCTTTTTTTCCATCTTAAAAGGCCGCATAATTCCGACTGGATATTTTTTTTAAAAAACAATTTCGCCGCATGCCGAACCCTTTCGACGGGTTCGGCGGATTCGATTCGATGGATGAAACTTGAAGGTTTCTAATGTATTCATGCGCATCGACTTCGTTTGAACCAGCATTTCGATTCATACGAGCCATCTGCCGGAGCACCTGCTTCCCTTGTTTTGTCTGATCCCTCACTGCGGTCAAAATGATTGATGCCCTCATAAAAAAAAGAATGGGTATGAACACGAGGAAGCCGCACCATCACCGATGCTCACGAACCAGGTTCCCCTGGAAGGGGAATCCGGTCAGTACCGAGTGGAATCCTTCTCCCACTAACCCCCCTCTAACTCCCTCTAACCATACCTTAACCACACCAGGGAGAGATAACTGCGAGAACGCTTCTGGCTCGAATTGCTCACTGAAACGGTATTGTATTTTCCGACAGCCTGTCACGGTTTACCGGAATATGAAATAGGGAGGAGAAAGGTTTGATGTGCGCCGCCTCAGGCACCATCTAGGGCAATGGTTCTCAACCTTCCTCTTACTCTCATCGAACCTTCATGCATTCGGGGGGGGGGGGGGGACACCTCCCAGGTTGAGAACCACTGATTTAGGGGATGCTTTCAACTAGGTCGGGGGTCAAGGAACCTTTTTGGCCATGTGAGCCATATTACGATTGAGCCAAGTGCTTGTGAGCGAAAAATTTTCACAGCAACATACGTTTTTATGAAGTTTGCAACATACATATGCATTCTACATACATGTAGATACGTAAGAAAAATGAAAAAGAACCATAATTTTCAGTCATAACTCAATGAGCCAAACATTTCGGCTCGTGAGCCAAATTTGGCTCAGGAGCCATATGTCACCGACCCCTGAACTAGATTTTAACCCGTGTCCTCCCCTTCCCCCCTCCCTCCCGAAATTTTTAGAAAATCTGCAGAATTCATTCTAGACTATTTCTTTATTATTTTTTTTATTGTTTATGCATCATTCTAGATTCTTGACTATTTCTGAGGAATAACTGGGATCGCAGTCCGCACAACTAGCATTCGCCTCGACGGCAAAAAAACCCGACCGAGTAGCGAAACTGCATTCTCTTGCCTCCGGGCGTTGGCAGGCCTCGGGATACAAATCACAAGTACCAGCCGGCAATTTTTCAGGAATTGTTCTCTGCCCATATTGTCTCATCGAGGACAGGAAAGAGAAAAGGGTTTCGCCCCGTCTTCATATTGGCTACCCATATCAAGATGGCGCGCGTCAAATTCCGGAAGTTAATCGCCGACAGTCTCATAGGAAACACTTCATAGTCCTTAGCCATCTGGACTTGGCAATCTCCCGCATTTCTTAGCTCATCGCCAGCTGGTTCGCCCCTCCGAAAGTGAATAAGCCATGAACCCATGTCCATGAAGTTATTCTATTTTAGTCTTTGTTTAATTAGCGTAACATAAATTACCCTAGAGATTTTTTTTTTTTAACTCGTGCGATGAAGCGTCTTCAATGCGTGTTCAAACTCGAATACAACTTAAATCTAACTTGGCCTACATGCAGAAAAAACTTACTGTTTCTTCCTGCCCATAGCATTCCATGTTCCAGGAGCAACCGCAATGAACTCCAGCGGGAGGAAAGGAGAACCCTGATGATTCCCTAGGCGAATCGTTCGAGCGAAGCCTTCCCGTCCAGCTGTCTCTCGTGCATCTCCCATGACGACGCGATTCTCCGCGTTGCTCCTCCTCGCCTTACTCTCCGCGAAGTGCGGGCCGGCGGAGGGGAAATGCCCGACTGGAGACGTACTTCCCTGCAAATGCGGCAGTCGCTTTCTCCAGGATCATCACGATGGCGAAGTGCAACTGGACTGTTCGAGTGCCAACACCAGTGAGGAAATTTCATCGGCCTCGAGAGCCTCCTGGCCCTCCTCTCAACTCTGGTGAGACTTTAGTGCATATATTTCACGTTAGAAAGTGAACCCTGGCAAGAATGGAGTTGAAATTTCTCAGCGGATTGGATCGTCGCATTGCTTTTACGTTTTCACCTTTTCTTGAGTTCATTTATTTGACATTCGCATCTTTTGCAGGCAATTCCGTCTGACCGATAACAAGCTGGTCGAGGAGCTCCCCGAAGGAGTCATGGGAGATCTCTCCTTCCAGTCCATATGGGTGAGCGACACCGCTCTCAAGCGGATCCATCCGTCGGCCATCCTCCCTTCTGGGGACCGCCTGGTGAATTTGAGCGTCGAGAACAGTCGGCTGGAGGAGTTTCCTTTCGGAGTTCTTCCGACGCTCCGCCGCCTCGAGGGACTCTGGCTCCAAAACAATTCATTAGCCGCAGTACCGGCCATCCGAAGCGAGAGCCTTCAACTTCTCTACCTTTCATACAATAACATCACGAGAGTGAACGAAGACGGATGGGCGACTCCCGACATGAGGCACCTCGACATGAGTGAGTGATGCCCACGATGCGACGATTCGTGATTGACAACGTCCCTGGTGTAAATTTTTTTTCCCTCCTCATTGAATTTGGATGGAATATGGTTGATTAATTTATATTTGAAACTCTTTTAAATTGAGCTAGCTCAGAGTCGATTGATCTGTTTTTTCTCGTATTCCTCACTTAAGCTTCTTTTTTCTCGTCACACAGGTTACAACCCGTTGTCGGAATTCCCATCTACAGTGATCAAGAGTCTCAGAAAACTGGAGGAATTCTATTGCTCGGGCTGCAATTTGGGACCAACTCTTTCAAACGGGCTGTTGAGATTCCGCAGCAAGACCTTAAAGTTGGTTGTGTTGTGGGAGAACGGCATTTCGAGACTCGGACCAAAAGACATATCGGGTACGACCAACTCATCAGTACGATTTGGGACTGAGTAGATCCAAAAATAGATGAACTCCTCGAGGAATTATTGGAATCATGTACGAAGTTTATCGAATCAGAGCTGTGAAAGATTTGGTTTTAAGGGAAATATGCTGAAACCGTGTCCATAACCTACTCTCTTCGCACGTAATGCCACGATTATTGCCTCAAGCTAGAGTATTAAAAAGTCACACTTCCGAGAAGTGTCTAGAATAAGTAACAAAAGAGAGACGGTTGTAAAAGACTTGCCCAAGATCATCTCGTTCTCGGGTGTTGTCTTCCTCTCGTTGTTTCTGATTCAGGTAAAATCGGGCGCGATGAATGATTCCATTGTCGCCTCACGGTAATTGTGCAACCGCCGAGGACATTTATTCATCCTGGTTCTGTTTTGCATGGGATTGGGGTAATATTCCCCATATTAAGATTTCAATGAGCACAATCGACAACAGACCATTGAACAACGAAGCCTGTTCGTAAAACACATACCCAGATACGCGGAGATATTGCCAACCCTCTCGACCGCTCGCTGAAAATTCTCACGTAATTTCCAATGTATGACATCGACATGATCCTCAGAAAAGGAAATGTGCTGCATGTGTTATAGTGTCGGCCTCGAGGTCCACCCGTGACCTATGTGGGATACAGAGAAAAAAATGGAATGTTTCAAACGAATGTGGTACACAGTATTTCAGGTATCCATTTCAGGTATAAGGACCGACACTGTTGTTTACCTCACGCACAACAAGATCGCCATGTTGGACGAGGGAATCTTTCGACCCACGCTGGAAATCATGTCGCAAGGGAAAGGGGTCCTCCATTTAGAGGGTGAGTCGAATTATTTTCCATGGCATCGGTGGACTTCCCTAGTCCGTTACCTTCCATGAGCCTATCTCTCGTTGCATTAATTTTCTTCCTTCGTTTCAGGCAATCCCGTGCAGTGCGGTCGCAATCTGGAATGGCTGGCGCTCGCTCCGAAGTTGCTCAGAAAGGTGAAAGGGGCATGCGAGGATGGAACCAGTCTGGCATGCTCCGTCCTGGACCTCCGACCTTGCTCATGCGAGGAACATTCAGACGGGATGACGGTCGACTGTTCGAGTGCCAGGACGAGCGAGGAGGTCTCGTCGGCCTTCGATAAGATTTGGCCCTCCGCTCGACTCTCGTGAGGGAGATCTCCGTCGCCCACTGCTTAAATTCTCGCGTTTCTTGGCATTCAACAGTGCTGGTGCTTAAACTCTTTAAACCTGGTGTAGGTTCCCATGTACGTAATCTTCAATTTACATTAACTTAAATGATTGAGACCATTTGCACATCTGTATGGACATTCAATACCTCGTTTACGACTGTCTTGAAAAATAGCAAAATCCTTTCCAAAATCCAAAATTAGGTAACTTCTTTTCGCAACATAATACCATAGAAAAAAAAGGAAGTAAAATTAATTAATCAGAAATAATTCAGGTCTGAAAGGCTTGATAAAATGGGTATTTTCGCAATTTTATCGCCACTCTCATGGGTGCCAGTGAGAAATACTGGCACCGCATCAAGATGCCAGCCTGGTCTCATCGCTAAATTATATTCTGAAATGTTCAACAGGAAACAATGTTTGCATTGTATTGTAAATGTATTGTATGTCGTATTTGTAGCTTCGATAAAAATTTCTCTCTTCCAACGGAGAAAGTGACAGTATTCCAGGATTTCCTCCTAGGGAATCTCTGTAGAAGCTCATTTTGATTACAATGATATTATTCGTTATTTTTTAATTTGATGATTGTTGGAATAATAGCTGCGTTATTTAGACTAACTTAGATATGTACATCCATCAGTTGAAAACTGTAAAAGGTACGGACGAAGAGAAATAATTTTTCCTGTCTTGTTTTTAACGCAGGCATTTCATCCTGCTGAATAACTCGGAGATTCAGGAACTCCCCGAAGGAGTTTTCGGAGCTCACTCATTCCAGAACATATACTTGAGCAAGACCGCCGTGAAGGCGATCCATCCGTCGGCCATCCTCTCGTCCAGAGGCCAGCTCGTGAATCTGACCGTCGAGAACAGTCGCCTGGGGAGGTTTCCTTTCCATGTTCTTTCGATGTTCCCCCGCCTCGAGGGACTCTGGCTCCGGAACAATTCCCTCACCTCAGTGCCGGCCATCCATAGTGAAAGCCTCGAGTTCCTGTATCTTCCGAACAATGGCATTGAGAAAATAAAGGAAAACGGATGGGCGACTCCCAACTTGAGAGAAATCGACTTGGGTGAGTACACGACATGTTGTACTGTATGAGGATTCGGGAATCGGGAGTCACTCATTTTCCTCTGAATTCCAACGTTTCTCGTTATCTGTTTATGTAGGTTTTGATTGCTCACAAGCGGGAGAAAATGTATTTGTTCAGGAGACAAACATGACTTCTAGTATTGCATCTTCATCATCATGAAAATTGTTTCTTAAAGCAAACCTATTTTGCATATGCATTGCAATATTAGAATGCGATGACATGAGATGATTCAGTGAAAATTCAAGAAGTCCTGTTCCTTTGATTTTTATAACGATGAAAACATCGTCCTAATTTGGAGGGTTTTAATCATGATTCGTACAGGTCACAATCCACTATTGGAGTTCCCATCCGTAGTAATCAAGAGTCTCAAGAAACTAGAGAAATTCTATTGTCCAGAGTGCCATCTGGGACCCACCCTTTCAAGCGGTCTGTTGGAATTCCAGAGCAACTCCCTTAGGTTGGTGTCGTTGTGGAAAAACGGGATCTCGAGGCTGGAACCGAAAGCCATCACGGGTACGATTCTTCGTCCATTCATCCGCCCTTAGTGGGGTAGGTCGGTGATTTATATAAGATTTGGTCCAAACGTGGGTAGCGCTTTGGCTGATTTAGCGCTAAGCATTACGGGAACGACCGAGGTTTATGAATTGCTGACAATTGGTCCCCAGGCATGAGGAGGATTCATTCCAGATAAGATCTTGAGACTGTTTTTGCAAAAATAATGTAAAATCTTCTGCATGCAGGTTGTTATGCCATGCATTTTGACTCCAATAGAGAAACTATAACCAACTCTAACTGTCCCAAAAACCTACAGGGTCTATTTAAAAAGGCAAAACGGCAGATAATGATAAAAGAACCTTTGCTAATGTCTTTTGTTGCTCCTATCTAATACCATGTTGATGTATTTCATGGATTGCTTTGATGTAATGTCCACATATTACACATGAGTCCAGATCGCATGAGGATTTAGCTAGTCAGAGAACCGTTAACTGTAATGGAATCATGCCAAAGCAAATTTTCCCTTAAGAATGGGACATAGGGAACAAAACGTTTGAAAAATTATTTGCAAATGGTTTCCATGCCCTGCATCATGTCATCTACTAAGCATTATGTCCAGCGTTCGCTCGAGAGAAACATGCCCTTAAATCCTGGTATTCGTTCCAGGTCTCAGACCTGCTACATCGCTTACCCTCACAGACAATAACATCACAATATTGACAAAGGAGAGCTTCCGTCCTATGTTGGAGGTCCTCTCGTTGGGAAATGGAGTCCTCGAGATAGGGGGTGAGTCGCCTGGTGTTTTTTGCATTGGAATGGAACTTCAGAGCTCTGATCCACTCAACTTTCCTTTCTCATTGCAATTTTTGTCTCACCATCATTCAAGGGAATCCCATCCAGTGTGGCTGCTCTGTAGCCTGGCTGGTGCACCATCGAAAACTCCTGAGGAAAGTTCATGGGAAATGTCAAAATGGGACGGAATTTGAAAGCCTGGATTCGGATTCCTTAATATCTTGCCCTCGATGTCTTTACGAGTGTGTCAGTGCCCAAATGTTACTGCTCTGCACTCCCGGTACCGTGATTCTCTCGAAAGTGCCGACCTGTGGGCCTGAAGAATTGTGTTGTCAACCAGACTTCTCAAGAAATGATGCAGCATACCTGCTACATTTCTTGGGAATCCCAAATCTCGATTCGGTTATCACATGGTAAAATATGAATCCTTGGAAATGTGTGATCCACAGCGTGCAACATGAACATATGCCGATGAACCTTTTCTAAGAATGAACAGAAGTTAAGCTAATCCCTTCTTGCATTTTGCTCTAGGGAGTTCCTTGATGGATTATATCGATGCTGAAATGCGAGGAACTGACAATCCTAATCGAGTTCATATAATATTTAAATTACAAAACATTTTTGTTGCTCACTTGTTACGAAGTTATCGAAAATTTTGGAATTTATCCTTTTCGCAGCAGTATTGTGGACAGGAAATCTGACTGCAAGTGTGATGCCTCTATATTGTAATAAACATCTCCTTCCTTTAACCCTGTTATTGGTTCAAAATACTAAGTTATTGCGTTTTGATAATTATTCTTCTCGAGGGAATTATTGAGTGAAATCGCGCTGATAGATTACTTGTTTTACTACGTTGAAGCCCAAATTTTTTGCGTACTTGAACAATTTTTCTTGATTCCAGACTTTCATTGTTTCTCCCCCAGCGCTTTCAGTATTTTAATTTTTAATCAAATCACTCATAACCCATCTGCTTCCGACATCATGCATTCAGACCTTGAGTCATTGAAAAGCAGGTGCTCAACCGCGAACGAGAAACGATTTAAGTCAGAAATAGGAATGTGTGAGACTTCGGATTATGGAAGCAATTTGCAGAACCTGTTGCTGAACATTTATTGAAAAGAAGTGAATGTGTCTGTGGAGATGAAGGATAACGCAACTGAGTTCAAGAAAACGTTTGGTTCAACGTTGATGCTTGAGTCCAGTAACCATCGGGATTACTTTCCTTAGAATATTAAGATAGTGTGATAAAACGTCATATTTCGGGAATTCTGACTTTCTGAAATTTGGAATGAGAGAAAATATGAAGCTGCCATATGCAGACGATATGACTAGAGTGGAGACGCTCTCTTAAAATCAAATGTATCTGGGACACAAACCCGGACAACATTTTCAGTGGGAGTTGATACAGCCAATCCACCTATTATACGACACGAGTCTCGTGAACTTTTCCCCCTGAAGTGCAACGCAGTATTTCCAGAGCCTTCCGCCAGGCCATGAATTTCTCATGATTTCAAAAGAAAATGTTTGGTTGGGATTTACGTCCCTCCACTTATACTGCTTTCATTTCCTGATTGAAAGATGGTCTTCTGTCCATCAACATCAAGGCAAGCGCTCTTACTTGGTAGGAAAACTTGAACAAGGAATTGGGGGCAAGGGTAACGCAGCATGCCATTCTTCTGCCTTCATTGTTATAATGGTTTGTGATGCAGGAGTCACTATTTTAATTTAAAGGCGCCTCGGCCAACTTCCGTGAAAGGTGTCGGCTCGGGCCTGCTTATCGCTCACCTCAGGAGACTGTTCGTTTTAGTCCATGAATACGTTTCTTTGATGGATGGTTCATGGCATTTCACGTCATAGGCCATGGGAGTCGTGACCTCCGTCTCGTATATGAAGGAAGACATACAGGTATAGTCGGGAAGTAAGATGTCCTGTATTCTTTGGAAGTAGGTTACATTTATTTTACTGAGTGAGAGGCGGTGCGGCCTCCTTATAGTGCAAAGCATGCATTAGGAGTGGGTTTGCGCTCAAACAGAATGCCACGGTTGTTCAAGGGAGGGTTCAAATGAAGTTCGAGCAATACACAAGGAATGTCCCGTGGAGATGCTCTGTCTTCGTGCACTTCATTGCGGTCGAGACAGGAAATACTTGAAGGTGAGATGCATAATCAGGTAATGGGAGGATTAATGCAAAGCCAAATCCGATGCTTCAGGGCTGGATGATACCACTTTTCCTCACACTAAGAAAAAGAAAATAAACTCCATTGAGAATATGCAAAAAAAGTTCGCAGTGAACGAATTTATTTATTGGGGATACCCTTTTTCGATAGGTCGGAATATAATATTCCGACCTAACCATGCTTGCTGTCGCATCGGTTGCAGATACAACTCCTTGCTCTTTCGCAATATCCCGTGGCACAATGACGACGTTTGCAGGATGAAATGCAGGCTCGGACTTGACAACTCGCGCCGTCGGCGCTCTTCGACACATCAGCCAGGACCAGCATCACTGCCAGCATCGCCACAACGAATTGGTACTTCATTTTTCGATTTTCTCTGCAATAAATAAAAATATCAGCCCACAGAAGTTTCCAAACGTTTATGTGAACACTTGAAAACTACTGACGATAATCTTTTCTGTCAAGAATTTCGATTGGAAAATGTGAAATTATACTTAAATGTCAATATATGCAATTTTGTATTCCATAATGACGTCTATTCATGTATTTTTTTCAATTTAATTACACTATCGAGACTTGAAAATTTCCAGCACTTTGCAGGAAGGAGCCGTAACCCGTGAAAGAGGATAGCAAATGTTGACAAGATACAGTGAGTATATCAACGACCAAGAAGAAAGTCCCTATTTCTATCACTACAGATCTGGGCTGAGAGACCTGGGCTGGAGCGGAGTAGTAGCAACTGAGTTGACGAGGCAAGAATGGGAAGGAAGTTGTGTAGCATTCCTTAGGCTCAAATCCCCACAGCCCAACCAAGAGAAACGCAACCAAGCCCACCCTTACCTAACCTAGTCCCCAGCAGCAGCGCAGGATGGATGCCTGCAAAAAACGCATGTATGTCCCAGTTAATGTAAATAAATGGCAATAAAGACTATTTTGTACTTTTTTAAATTGAAAATCTGGAACAACTAGTTGCCAACTTCACTTTAGACAATCGGTATAGTGTAATATGCCCTTTTTCCTATAATACTTATAAATGACCTTCAGGCTTTCGTGATGTAGGGAGGTATGAAAGAATGCATGTCCTATTGGGCAGCTTCGAGACAGGTTATAGCCTAGAAAAAACCATACCATAACGGTGTAGCAGTAAGAGTCTTTGTCATTCATGCGCCCCTAATGGGGAGTAGGTAAGGTTATGATAAGTTTGGTCTGGTATTCCCAAGTTGGGATTACCTCAAGTGGGGGGGCCATCAAGGTATCAAAGCAGTTAGTGATATCAAGAGGCGATTACACCCATTTCGATATCGTGTGTCGAGGTCGAGCGTTACTTAATTTTGTGTATGTGTTTTATCCATTTAGTCGTGTTCGACTCTTGGTGACCCGATGGACAAGGTCTCGCCAGCATTTTCCATCCATGGCCAACTCCTTCAGTTCTTGGATCCCCAGTTGTGTGTCTTTCATGATAGTGTCCATCCATCGTGTTCTCTGTCGTCCTCTCCTTCTTTTTCCTTCCGTTTTACCAAGCATCAATGCCTTTTCTAATAAGTCTTGTCTTCTCATTATATGACCAAAATATTTCAGCCTCGATTTTGTTATTGATGCCTCCAGAGAGCAATTTGGCTTTACTTCGTCCATTATTGATTTGTTTATCCTCCTTGCAGTCCATGGTACGTTCAGCAATCTTCTCCAGCACCACGATTCAAAAGCATCAATCTTTTTTCTTTCAGCTTTTCTGATTATCCAGCTTTCACTGCCATATGTCGTAACTGGAAAGACTATGGCTCTGACAATTCGTACTTTTGTCGACAGTGTGATGTCTCTGCATCTGGTCACTTTATCCAGATTCGTCATGGCTTTTCTTCCAAGGAGCAGACGTCTCCTTATTTCACGGCTGCAATCACCATCCATGTGGACGATTGACCCCAAGAATACGAAATCTTTAACAACTTCAATTTCTTCCTCAACTATCTTCACTTGAGTGATACAGCCAGTTGACATTATCTTGGTCTTTTTAACGTTGAGCAACAAGCCAGCTTTTGCACTTTCTTTTTTAACCTTCATCAGAAGCTCCTTCAAATCTTCCTC